ATTCAAAGGAAAGTGTGATTTCGATTAATATATATAAGCCGAACTCTACTCACGACTAAAAACTCGTGTATGCCATACAAGAGACAGAAGTATTACCTCTCACCAACTACTTGTTGAAGCATACTGAAATGGACAGCTGTTGTTTGGTATATGCCCCCCTCAACACACGATCCCATGTAAACGATGTAGACCTACATCATCTTAATGATGTTTGTCATGACAATTGACAATATAATTAAAAATAAGAAAGTCGGTTGTAAGATGCAAAGAAAATACATGCCTTTCTTTCTTGATCATTGATATTGGCACTGCAGAATAGGCTCACATCAAGAAAGAAAATGAAAGAAATGTTAAAAAACTGTAGGAAGCCAAACTTTACCATTGTGGTATGCATAGCAAGGAGGATTGATATTGTGTGTTTTATATGGCAAATTGAGGATTTTGTATTTATTTTCTTCCCTTTCTTAGGTCCCAAAATATCCCAAAAAATTTATTTGGCTATTCGCTTAATCATTTTAGACAGGTTAAATGTCAATTTTAGTTATTGACTTTTGAACATTTTTATTTTATGAACTATTATACTTGTTTTTTGTTCTTAAACTATGAAGAATGTACTTTTTTTGGTATTTTACCAATTAATTTTTTAAGCCTTTGCAAATATTCTTGTTTTTAGTGCATAAATTTATAATATATGCAAAATTTTAATTCCTAAACTTATAATATATGCACATTTTTAGTTATAGAATTCAAAAACTAAAAATGTGCATATATAAATAGACAATAGATTAACTAATAAATTAACCTAACAAATGTATTTTTTATAGTTTAGGAATGGAAAAATACATAAAAAAATAATTTAAGTGGTGAGCATGTTCAAAATTGAAAGTTTAAAAACTTAAATTGATATTTAGCCTTACAAAGAAGGAAAAAGAAGGAAAATGGATTCTATAAGGAAGAAAAAAAAAAAGGAAAATGGAGATTTTTTTCCATTTAGGGCAACATGTTATTATCTAATTTTTTCTAGATACTTTTAATAACAGTGTAAA